ATGAAATTGGAAATATTTTGGATTTATTGGTATTTATTGGGAATTTTTTGGAATTTTTGGAATTTTTTAGATTTTTGTGTCATGGAGGGGCATTTTGGTAATTTGGTCATTTTTGTCAGTTTTGGCAAATTTTGATGTATTCAAAGTGTTTGAAATGAGTTTTGATCAATTTTGGGTATTTTGGCAAAATTTGGGAATTTTGGCCAAATTTGGGTCCCAAGGGCAGTTAGGTAATTTGGAGGTGCCTAGGGGCAAAAGACCAAGTTAGGCATTTCACATAGAATTGGATAGATATCCATTCTAAATGAACCATGGATTAATGTATTGTGAAGATATGGTGTACCCTAGTTCCAAGTCAATACCCAGGGTCAATCCTAAAGCCAAGTAATCCTATAGGGACTCTTCTTGAATTCTCTCATAATGATCTGACCTACTAAATGCTAGAGGTTAAGGTCAATATGTGGAATTTCAAGTTGAGTAAAAAGAAGAGTTTTGAATTTCTAATGGTGAGGGTACCTTTTCTAGTTTTCTAAGACTAGTCAATAGGAAAATCCTATGGCTAGACCTAGGCTACTGAAGAAGTTTCTAGACCTCAACCAAAAGTGAGGTCAACACACGAAGAATAAGATCTTCCAAGTCTCTCTCTCTCCTTTAACTTCTCTTGCTTGGTGCTTTGTTAAGATCTATGAATCATGTAATAGATTTGAATTGAATACACACATCTCATTATTTTTTACATAAATTAGATCGTAACTCTATAATTTTAATATTTTAAACTTGCCATTAGTTTCAAAATTAAAATAACATTACAAATAACCAAAATTTCAAATTGTTTTATTCATTTTGAGTAACAAGTAACCACTAAAATGCAAATAGAATCTTCCTCAACACCTCCATCGTTTCTCCCCCTTCAATCAAATAAATCTGACGGCTTCAACTTTCTTTCGGCAGTGAACTCGTAATCCGACGGTTAAAAAAGCTCCGGCTCAGGAGTTCACATTCGAATCATCTTCACGCGTCGCCGTCGAGGAGTTTTCCAGGTGAAGCCCTTGAACTTCATCTCTATCTCAAGATTCTAAAATTCCTCCCATCGATCTGTTCCGAACCCTAAAACTCTCCTCACCCATTCTGTATTTGTTGCTAATTCATCTGCGTCAGCCTCAACTGTATCCTGATGATCGGCTTCACTCTTCGTTAATCGACTAGAGAAATTGAAGCAGGTATTGGGCATGGAGAAGAGGCATCCCCCTGAATTTCGTTCCGTGTTTCATGTTCTCTGTACTCTGATTCTTCTTTTATTCATCTTAAACCGAGATGACGTTATCGGAAACCCTATTCTCCGCAAAAGCAGTAGTTTTATCTCCCCTAGGCCGCTTCCGAAACCCTCCCCTATTTTCCACCGCCATCTCTTCGAGCTTTCATTGAATTATTCTTCTTCGTCGAGGGAAATCCCACGGAATGATCTGGAGAATCCAAAGGACGCTTGCTCCGGGATAGCCCAGCACGAGGGCGCTCGGTGCGATTTTCTAAAGTTGCACCCCCACTGTGGTTCCGGTGGGTTCATCGATTACATCACCTTCTTTTACTGCGATTGTGAGGAAGTTCAAATCTTGGGGTATGCCGTTCTTGTTTTGTGGCTTCTCGCTCTATTTTATCTATTGGGCAACACAGCTGCAGATTACTTTTGTTGCAGCCTTGCCAAACTCTCCGCTTTATTGAAGCTTCCACCTACTCTTGCTGGTGTGACCTTGCTTCCGCTTGGAAATGGGGCTCCTGATGTTTTTGCCAGCATTGCGGCCTTTGTGGGAACTGGAGCTGGAGAGGTTGGTCTTAACAGCGTGCTTGGTGGTGCAGTCTTTGTTACTTGCGTAGTTGTTGGGATTATTTCTGTAATTACTGCTGGAAAGAATGTCCACATTGACCGTAAATGTTTCTTAAGAGATGTTGGATTTTTCTTATCAGTCTTGTCAGCCTTGTCATTGACCTTAATTGTTGGGAAGATAAGTGTGTGGGGAGCAATCTTGTTTGTTTTCATCTACGTGGTTTATGCTTTTGTGGTTACAGCAAATGAGATTCTGACAAAGCATACAAGGAAGTTGAAGTTGAATGTTGCAACTCCGCTGCTTCCTGTTGCAGGGCGTTTCTTTGCGAACGAGGAGGATGAATCTGTTCATAGATCTCTGCTTGATGATGAATTAGATAATGGCGTGCCCCAGTTGCATAATAACTTGCCTCAGTGGATGTGGGCTTCTAATGTGGCAATATACTCAAACTGTGTGCATAAGGGCGGGTCAACTAACAATTCTAATCCTTTATGGGGTTGGAATGAAGAAGATGGTGAACGAGATATTGTGTTTTCCTGTAGTAAACTCTTTTTAATTTTTGAGGTTCCACTTTCACTTCCAAGGAGACTGACAATTCCAATCGTTGAGGAGGAAAGGTGGTCTAAAAAGTATGCAGTTGCTAGTGCAACATTGGCACCTTTGCTTGTGGCATTTTTGTGGAGTTCTAGAGATCCCGGGGGTTCCCAATTGACTTTTGCTGCTTTTATGTTCAGTGGCGTTGTAGGCATTGCTTTAGGGATTTCTGCTTTCATATTCACCAATAATGAATGTCCACCACAAAGGTTCTTATTTCCATGGGTTTTTGGAGGCTTTGTGATGAGTATTGTTTGGTTTTATATAGTCGCCAATGAGCTGGTCGCTCTTTTTCTGGATTTGGGTGTGATCTTGGGTATCAACCCTTCGATTCTTGGATTAACAGTAATGGCATGGGGTAATTCCATGGGTGATTTGATGTCAAATATTACTTTAGCTTTGAGAGGTGGCGATGGTGTGCAAATTGCATTCTCTGGTTGCTATGCAGGGCCCATGTTCAATATTCTTGCTGGTCTCGGTATATCCATGCTGCTTGGAGCCTGCTCGGTTGCCCCTTCGTCATATGTTCTTCCAGTAGACAGTTCATTGATTTGTACAATGGGTTTTCTAATGGCTGGGCTTACCTGGGCTTTGTTTATCTTACCAAGAAATGACATGCAACCTAGCAAGTTGTTAGGGTCTGGCCTGATTATACTCTATGTTATATTCCTTTTTCTTAGAATCAGTGGTGCTACAGGTGCTGTATCATTTTCTGGCTTACATTGAGTTTTTTTTCTCTTGTATAAAAAGGCCATAACTTTCCTGAAAAAACTTGTAGATTTTGTATTCTTTATCTGAAGTTATTGTATGATAAGATGTTTCAATAGAAAGGAATGATTGGGTTCTTCGTTTCCTTGATTGTATTATCTCTTTAATTGAAGTTGCACTTGGTGTAACTCAGTATTGGGGCAAGTTTTCATATAAACCCCTTTCAATTTTTTTATTTTTTTATTGAAGTGTCCTCGCTCTATTGTTGCTTCTTTGGTTGTCAATTCCTTGAGGTTCATTATTAAGTATGCTAACAAACTTAGTAATATCTATTCATTTTCTTTCATTGGAACTAGGATATAGATTCAAATACTTTATAATGTTATAAATCTTGTTGACTTCCATGGACATAGAACGTTCAACCCTAAGCTGAGATAGCATGGCACCATTAAAAATCATTTAAAAAAAAAAGTTGAGACTGCAAACGGGTTCTTTTAGTTATTTATGCTTCGTCTTTTGTAATTTTTACATTGTTCTTTACAATTGTATTTTTTCTATGCTGCATTGTTCAATTATTTAATCACTACTACATTACGCTGTTATTTGTGTTGAAATTATTTTATTTTCTGCTTGCAGAACATATAATCTCGACTAAAGAAAACTGATGAGTTTTCTTAAAAACAACCAAAGATTTATCTTTCTTAACTTTTTTGCTGATTTTGCTTACTGGTTCTTTTCTTTTCCTGTAAACATGCTGGACATATTTTATTAAAGAAAACTGCAGGTGTATTTGTCTAGGTAGACATGCTAAATGTACATGTCTTTCAATTCAGTGATTCAATGAATAAATGACCAACCTTTAGAGTTTATCCTCTGCTAAAAGTGAACTTTTTAGGTATGGCATATTTATGTTGTTGAGTGTGAAATCTTAAGCCCATTTGGGGCGGTGGTAGAGGTGCAGGTGCGGGCCACACTACACCACTTATGCATTTAGCAAAACTTTGTTTTGCGTGCTTTCTCAAGAAGCTGTGATGGGAAAGCTGCATTTTGCAGCTTGATATGACTAAGTGCGGTGGTTGCCAAAAGACTACGGTCAAACTTTTTGAAAAAAAAAAATGAATTAGCCACCAACAACAAATTATTCTACAGCAACTTCACATTTGCCTCTTCTAATAGCTGCAGCTGCCCCAAACATACCCGAAAGCTGTCATGCATTCTTATGAATATGGATGTATATGTATCTGTGCTTTTGACTGAGAGGAAACCAGAGGTGGAAATTGAAGGATAGATATATTGACAAAGGCTTCAATTACAACATGGTACTTCTACTGAGGAAAGGCAATTGAAATGGTATGCTGTTGCTAGTGGAGCTTTGGCACCTTGGCTTTTGGCATTTCCATGGTGTTCAGGAGAAACTACAGCATTAGTTCCTCTGTGCTGGGAGGGTGTTGTAGGTATCAGTCTTGGGGCTCTTACATATTTTGTTCAACAATTATGGTCTTCCTCGGAGTTTCTTATTCCCATGGTTTTTGGCTTGTTAGAGAAGCTGAGGTGCTTATTTGATATTTGTATGGTTGTCAATATGCTGGTATTTTTTTTCTGCTTTTTACTTTGCTTAAATGTAATGCTGCAGGATAATTTATCTGTTTACATGATGACAACTATAGCTTTATCTTGGTGTGGTACTGATATGGTGCTGATTGCAATATCGGTTTGCTGTGCAGGGTCCATGTTCAACACAGTTGCTGGATTTGGTTCATCTACACTGTTTGGAGCCTGGTTAGTTGCATTATTTTCATATCTTCGATTGCACAGTCATTTTATTTACACGATGTATTTTCTGTTGATATCTGTTCTTCTAAGGAGTAACCTGCAATTTGCTAAGTTCTTAGGTGTTGGCTTTATAATACAATATGTTATATTTCTCTTTGCACAAGCAAGTAGCACATCCTTCTCACGTCATCTTCTTGCTTGCATTGAGCTTATCATAAAGAATTGATGCTCATTTATGCAAAGATTGTTAGGCTATTTCTGGAGAAAGTTTATATTACATTAGGTAGGAATGTAATTACGGATGTACGGCAAAATAATTAAAAAATCGTTAAGTTTTTGAAAATAGGTTTTTAAGCGAGTCAAAATTATTACTTTATAATTAAACCAAACTTGATTGGATGGCATTAAATTCCTTGATAAAGTTATCATAGAAGTTTAAAGAATGTCAAAGAGTAAGAGCTTTAACTAAACTAGCCAGTTTAATACAGGTGGGAAGAGGTAAAAATGTTGTCAGGAAAAGAATTGTTTTACTTGAAGCTCGTCTGAAAATAAATTTAAGGCATACTGATTATAACCAAGTTGCAGTCTATAGGTTTTGCAGGGGCAAGTATAAGAGAATCCATTATCTATATCTCTTGATGATTTCTATAGTGGATAGGCACTAATGAAAAGATATGAAATATCTAATGCTAGCTGAATGAGGTCCAGGGACAGATCAAGTTATATGCAATAATAAGTTAGATGTAATAAGAAAGATTATAAACTCAATATGAAGATGGCTTGGAGATGAAAATACTTGGTAATAAATGAGAGAAAAGCAGCTCTTTAAAAGAGCAAACTGAACTAAATCATGTATTATTATAAATTAATAAAAATAATTGAATTTGAGTTAGCTTGAACAAGGCATCCATAGTCTTATCTTTTAATTCATAGAAGATATCATTAAGTTTTGAATTGTTATGGGAGATAAACACTTGATTAACAAATATTTTCGAGATCTTTAATAAATAAGGATTTAAAGGGGTGTAATATCATGCATGATAGAGAAAAGTATGCCTTGTGCATAAAAGTCGGTGTCAGACATGATTAAATAGATGACTAAAACTTGCTATACTTAATAACCTTTTGAAGATTATTACGATTGAGGACATAGTGAATGAAACATCCCTCCAAGGATGGGCTTGTTTTTCTGGTGATATATTCTCTAGATAGGATTTAATGTAGTTAATAATAAAACTCATTGAAAAGGTTGGTAAAATCTTTCATTAACCTAAAATTTCTTTCTTGATAAATAATAAAAAATTAATTATTTAAAACCTTCCTTATGATTTTGACTTCATAGCCATGGACATATGATTTCACTTGGATCATTCTTGAATGATCATGCTATTATAATTTTTTTGAATAAAATTAAAGTGAAAAGGTGAGACACTTTGGAGAATGATCGAAAGTCTAGCTAGTTAAAACACAACAATAATATCACAAGATTTATAGAGGGGTCAATGTATTGTGATAGAGTTATGAATGGATTGTTAATACTTTGGGTTAGATGCATTAGGTATTCTAAGGGTGAAATGTGATTTTCCTCATGATGATGGTGGTGGGATTCTTAGGGTAACTAGACATTGTAAGATGTGAATGAAAAAAAAAGAAAAGAAAGAAAATATACGGGAGAAGAGTTCATAAGAATTTGTAAGTTAGAGAATAAAAATTAATGGGATTCTTAGGGCAACTAGACATTGTAAGATGTGAATGAAAAAAAAGAAAAGAAAGAAAATATACGGGAGAAGCGTTCATAAGAATTTGTAAGTTAGAGAATAAAAATTATAATTGAAATGAGACTAAAGAAGATTAGATATCTTGGAGGTTCACTCTCCTTGGACACTATCTCCTACTCTTGTCTCACTGCTTAAGAAATGAAGTATTGCAAGGAATATGACAACCAAGTGTGTTGAGATATGTGTTATTTATTGTTGAGAAATTAGGTGTTTTTGAATTTTTGAATATTTAAATATAGGAGAGGGGGTGGTTGTAATGAACAGGGAAATAATGGCTATTTGTAGTTCTCCAATGCTTTTGAATGCCTTTAAATGCTTTTATGGTTGGAAAGCGGTCAAAATTCTGGCATTCAAATTGACATTCTTGGATTCCATGCGGTAAAAAAATGATTGACATGTCATGCCATATGGCATAGAAAAATCATATTAATTATTTAGGTATAGTAGGTAGTCGTTACCAACAAGGGCCTACTAAGATTAATAGACGTCCTTTATTGGGGGCTCAAATTTGGGTATTGTTATTATTGGGGTCTTTGTATCTTGATTGATGTGAGGCCTAAATATGTCTTGTTCATGATATGATAAATAAACTTAAAATATCTGTAGTGAGGGATCTAGTATACCTAGTTCTTGTATAAGTGAATAGGAATGATCCCCAACCAAAAGCTTTGTGAAGATGCATGCAAGCTAGTGGTTCACAGAGACAAACTCAACAACTGCATTGTTTACCTCATTTTCATATGAGGTCTTCACTTCTCTTTTTAGAGCCTAGGGTCTAGCTTTAGGCTTCTCTTGTTTGACCCTCCTAGAAGACTAGTACGGAACCCACACCATTTAGAAAATTCGAGCCACCTCGTCACTCCTTCGAGTTTCGCATGGGCGATCCCAAATCCTCGACATTCCGTTTAGTTGATTAGAATCGACACATGAAACTCGAGTCGAGGTCCTACATTAATAGGAACAGCCCCTAGGGATGCGACCCGAACACTCGATAACGCCGCATTTTGCGCACTCACTGCACCACACACCACTTTGACTTGATTTGACTCGTCCGCCGGCCCGGATGACAAAACGGATAGCGTCGGCGCGTCCGGAACGTCGAATTTAGCTAGGAAGGACACCCATATCTCTATAGTTTCGCGCACGAGCGTCCAGCACAGATATAGCACAGATATCGATGCACCTTTTTGGCGGTGTGCGGGCCCAGACTTAGCCCAGGTCCGACTCAGATTCGATTCAGGCTGAACACGGGCTAGGCACCAGCTCACCTGAATTTGAAATTCAAATTTCAAAATTCAAATGAATTATTTAATTTTTGTCTTAATTAAGGTTAATTCAGGTGTTAAGATCCATTTAAACCTCCCTGTATTGGAAACTATTTAATTC